CGTGTTTGCTCTGCCTGAGTGTTACATTGCTCACTCTTTTGTTGTTCTGCTTTGTAAGCTCTTCAAGGCAGAGGTTATCTCCTTGGGTGTGACTACACAGTGGCCAAGAGAATGAGGCTCCTGGTCTCAGCTGGAGTCTAACAGCTAAACCAAAAATAATAACTTGGTCATCGATGCGGAGGCTGGCTCCAATTTTATAGATTATTCATCAGAGGATAATGAATCTTAATTTAAATGCAAAAACCTTCCTTCCAGAAGAGGTCCATAAGCAGGATCACAACTAATGTCTTAATTTCAAAGACTACCAGCATCAGATCCCTGCTGTATTTCCAGGAGTCCGCTTGGACCACGTGGTATTGCTGGAGCATATGCCATTTTCTGCAGGAACAAATGTGGGACATAAGGGAGGTGACACACAATACATACTTGGTGCATCCAGTTTATGCAGATGAAGTCCTGGCTTTTTTTAGCCTGGAGTTTGTCATGCTGGAGCTGTTTGTTGCATCAAACTAATTGCAATGGAGATGAGCGTGTATGGTACGTGCAGCGTCAGGGTGTCCCCCCTCCGGTGGCTGCTCCCAGCGAGATCAGCTGGTGGAGAAAGGACACATAAATTAATCCTTTGCTCTCAGGTGGGAATGGATCTGATCCTGTCTGCAGTCCTAACCTGACCAGCATTCCCTTAGGTGGAGATGCAGGGCTGGAGCTCTCCCATCTCCGTTAGGCAGCCGGGAGGGCTCCCCCCAAGACAGAGACCCAGCACCACCCTTGAGGAGACACCCCAGGCTCGGCTCTTCTCAAACATAAACCAATTCTGAGCCTCAGCTGCAGCCAGGCTATGCCAGAAAGGAAGATGGGAGAGTGGGGCTGTCAGATGCAGTAGTCTAAAGCCTGTGGTTGAGGCTGCTCTTCACCTGATGCTGGCATCGCAGAGGAAACGCATCCACGTCTGGAAAAGGTGCAGGTGGGGGATCTTGGCCTTTAGCTTTAGTGCCAAGAGCAACACGGCACCAGACTGACAGCTGTGCTGGCTCTAGGAACAGCCCGACCTGCTCCTCTGCCATGGCTTGTTTTGGGACTGACACAAAAGCTAAATCATTCCCACAAACAATGTACAGCCATTCCCAGGTATTAACTTTTCCGTTGCTTATAGTGATACCCTGTAAATTCCTCTATTATTTTGCGTCGAAAAACAGCTCATTCCCTGAGTTAGCCCAGTTCCTCTGCTTCTCCCTGATATCCCTTGCCAGCCAGAGAAAACTGTACTAGGCAGGCTAGGGCAGCGCTGTGGCTCAGAATCACTTCACGAAGATTAATTGCCTGCCAGGGGTGGGTTGGTGGACTCAAGGTGGATGCCAGCCTGGAGGCGTTAGGGCTGAATTCTGCTTCAGTTCCTGATCCGAGTCTCTCCCTCCTGCCCGTGTGCACCTTGCAGAAATATAACTGAGTTTGAAGTATCTGTTTCCTCCCAAATTCATCTGGAATTCATTAATGGGTTCAGAAGCTTTTGGGAGAGGGGGATGGACACGTACCTGCACAGAAAAGCAGCGCAGCAGAACCTTTATTTCCTTAGGGAGGCAGCCTAAAGAAATATTAGCATTTATTCTCATCTGTTGCTGAGCTTACGACCCACACAAATAACAGGGAATAGCGAGCGAGCAGCCGGCTGCAGAATGGGAACAGGGAAAATGACTCAGCAAGCTTGGCACCAATCTGGAGAAAATGCAGGTACATTATAACCTTGCTTGAGCATCAATCTCATCCGTGACATGACGTAGAAACAGCAGCCAGCGTAGATATTTGGATTTGATGGAAACATCCCTTCTGATAAATGATTTAGCTGTGCTCTTGCAAGTAGTTATACCCAGGAGCAGAGCAGGTGAGAAGCTGCCTTCATATATGCCAGCAAAGGAGAGAAAAAGTTCAGTGAAAACCTCTCACTGCTTTACAAATGTGCTTTTTTTTCTTCTGCTATCAGTTGACAAATAGCTGCTGAATTATGGTTTCATGCTTTGTTCATGTCATTTTCCCCAAGAACAGCATTTCCTGCTACATCACCTTAGAAACTCGATCAACAAACACTCTGCTCTACATGTAAACAAAGCTTTATTTTACCCCATTTTTGACAGCAGACAGCATTTTAGAAACCAGAACATTTCGGGTTCTCTGGGCTATTTGCCTCAATTTCACAAACTGATTTTGGTTTTGAGGGCCTGTCAGCATTGTTTAGACCTGTATCTGTTGGAGTAGTGATGTTTTTGTGTGAGTGGCAAGGAAAATATATTGCTGCAAATTGCTCTCTGGAATCAGACTTTCTTCTCTCAAGAGTCTAAATGAAACTGCACTTTCTAACACGTGGGAACTAAAGAGTGAAATGAATAGGAAAGAGAAGTGAAACAAGAAAATTCAGTGTCAACAACAAAAATGAATAAAAAAGAAGCAAAGACAACTCTGAGAATTAAGCAGGACCACCTTCAAAACTCACGCTCCGATAAAATTCAGGAGTGTTATCTCCAACAGGGCACCTGAAGAACTGTGCAGCCAACTTCAGCCTTTTCCTTGTGTAATAACATCAGCTCTTGTCCTGACCTCATGACAAGGTCTTTCCTTTTAACTGTGGAAAAACAAGATCAGAGCCCTATAAAGTTTTCTTACTTTGTTTCACTAGATGAGCATTTCCCAGGTAGCTGCTGTGAACAAACAAATTAATACAACAGCAAACGGGGGATTTTATCTGGCAGTTTTTTTAAAACCTGCACAGGAGCCCCAGCTACTGAGCCTCCTGTGATCTGCCACCACACAGAGTCCATCAGTTAGGGATTAATTTTAAGGCAGATATTAAAGCCTATCACATGATCAAGGATTTTCCTATATGTGGACTTCAATGGGACGCTTTAAATCCTGTGTGTGTGCATGGATATGCACGTGTAGGTGCACGCTGGTGTTTATTCATGGACAGATGCAGCCTCAGGCTTCTTCAGGCCTTTCCAAGGAATATAAATTTAGGAGAGGGGACAGAGAGAGAGAGAAGAGTCATCTTTAAACTTCACATTTTTGAAAGCAAGTTTTTGAAGGAGACAGGCTGAGGGGGAGAGAGCCAAGATCGTAAAGATTTTATAACTAACAACATTTTTTAAGAGGAGACAGAATCTCTGCTCTTTTTTAGTGCAAGATCTTGCAATAATTTAAAGCAAATTTGGGAAATAGCTGTCTTTTGACAGAAATGCTTCATTTTCCTTTTCTGCTGGGCTGTAACCTAAAGCATCTTATGGCTCGAGAAAATGAAATAAAGCTGAGCGATGATGCGCTGTCACTGCTGCTGCCGCCACTCTGCCTCCTGCAAATCTCCCAAAATCGTGCACAGCTCTCCAGGTCAGAGCCCGGGAAGGCAGCAGTGCCTTCCCCTTCCAGTGTCAATCCTGCACTGGAAAAACTTACCCGGGGCTTTGTAAAACACGGCCGGGGTTTGCAGCGAGCGGCTCTGCCCGAGGTGCCGCTTCCAGGGGTTGGTGTGGAGAGGAAACTCTTCCCATGACACAGCAGAACAGCAGCAGCAGCAGAGTAAAACAGATCAGCTCTGGCAGTACTCCTAAAAGACTACTTTAAATCCCAGCTCCAGCCTCTTCCTCCTTTAAGCATGATCTGAAGAAGGGAATACAGAATAAAAAGAGGTTTAGCGAGGCAGGGAAATGAGGCCCGGAGATATGGGAAGCAAGGGAAATTGTAGTTAGGCTCCACAGCAGTGGGACAGTCTGCATAAATGGCAGAAAGGAGCCCAGAGAAGAAATTCCCCCAAAATTGGATGGGAAGGAGAGATAAACATAAACAGTGTGGAGGGTGGACAAAGGGAAGACTCTGAGAAGAAATAAGGAAAGGAGGATGAATTGCTCCTCACTTTGTTAACTCTTTTCAGCTAAAATCATTAGTAATTTTTACAAAACTAAAAAAAAATAAAATTAAAAAATAAAAAATAATAGTAGAGATATCTAAAACACTGATCTGTTAGATATACAGCTCATGGCATGGGCACTGGAAATGAGTGGGGCAGAGAACAGGAATGCAAGTTCAAAGCACAAGTGGGAGAGAGGGAGATGATCCACCGTCACTGCAGGATTGGGCCTGTGCTGGGTGGCTCTGGTCCCCTCCCGTGGCTGACAGCCACCAGCACCAAGCCAGCAGTTAGAAAAAAGTCGTTTATATGACTCCCTTCAAGAAAACATGGTGGGACACTGAAGAAATTAAATCCCCAACTTGAAATTTACTGCATCTGTGTATGGTGGTTTTTTTCACCTGCTGAGGGGCTGCTGGAAGCTGTAAGGAAGGAGTGAATGCGGGATTGCTTTTCCTCCTTCAGTTTTTAACATCAAATCTATGTCTCCCTTCTCAATCTAGCCTCTAAAGCCTTGCACTTGATCACCAACACTGACATGATGCCACCACTTTGGGAGCAGAATTTGGGGGCCTCCCACAGGAACCTCCCAGAGGGAAAACCCCGAGAGCCCCCTGCGCATTGTCAGCCCGGCGGTGGGACCGTGGAGCGGGTGGGCTTCAGCTCCCAGATCCCAAATCCTGGGGGCTGGTGGAGAGCAGGGAATAAAACCCACTTCAGCACCGCAGGCGGAACAGCAGCCGGAGGAACGCGGCGCTGCCGCCGTCCGGCCCCGCACCCCCGGCGGCTGCAGCCGGGCAGCGGGATGAGCGGGGAACCAGAGGCTGCCCGAACCGCAAGGAATTGTCGGCATCTTCCCTTCGCCGTTCTGTGAGGGCTGGCTGCTTGCTGGTGGTGTTGCAGTGGCCAGCGCACATCCCTAGGAGCGGCTCCTTCCAGCAGCTCGGCACAGAGCCGGCTGTCGGGAGCCGGCGGTGCGACGGGTCGGGACGGTGAAATTGCTTCGCTACCGACTGGCGGAGTTAAACGCGGCGGTAGCGACCACCGCATCGACCCCGCACGGGCAGAACCGCTCACATCTGCTCCTCCTCAGTCCGACACAAACAAGGGGTTTTTCCTCCTTATTTCTTTTATTTTTATTTTTCTTTTGGTTGTTTTGGATTTTGTTGTTGTTGTTGTTTTTCTGCCTCTTCCAGCACCGGAGACCCGCCGCGGCCGTAGACGAGCACCGGATCCCGCAGCCTCCAGGAGCGGGGTCCATCCTTCCGCATTGTGCCTGCCCGGCCGGTTATTCCCCGGTTATTCCTTTCTGCGAAAGAGAAGGGGAAAAAGAAAAAAAAAAAAAAAAACCCACTAAAATCCAAACACCAAACCAACCCCTAATAAATGATAATAGAAAAAGAAAGCGCAGCTACTTGCTTTAAGCAGAGGGCGGTAGGAGCAGGGAGCGCAGCCCCCCGGGGAGGGAAGGGAGGTACCGGAGGGAGGGCAAGCGAGCACCGCCGGGGCTCGCAGCCCCCCGGGGGTACCGGCGGGTCCGGCGGCGGCGGACGTGAAAGTCCCCTTTAAGTTTCCATAGAGAGGCCTCCGGGTGTCACATGATGGACATGATATAACGAAACAACATCGTGGGGAGGGACGGAGGGAAGCAGTGGGGGAGCCCGGGGAGGCGTCGGGGAGGTGGCGGTGCCCCCCGACCCGCCCGCCCCGGCTGCACCTGTCTCGGCGCGCCGGGAGCGCGGTGTCCGCCCCGCTGATGGGGCTGCGGGCGGCACCTTCCCCCGGGGAGGAGGAGAAGGAGGAGGAGAAGGAGGCGAGCCGGTGGCGGAGGTAAGTTACCGGCGGGACCGGGGCGGGGGGCGCGGGGTGCGGGCGCGGTGTGTGCGCGGAGGGGTTGCGGGGTGTGTGCGCGCGGGGTATCCGCGGTGTCCCCCGCGGAGCGCCGGGCGTGTGCGCGCCCTCCCGCCCTCCATGTCCGCATTCCAGCTCATGTTGCGCAGATAAAATTCAAACTTGAGGTAAAC